GAGCACCGTTACATCGCAGATGCTGGTTGCCTCATCTCTATCGCCTGGTTCTTTGTCTCACTTTGAGTACCCAGTCCAACAAGTCGGCCTTCGTCCCTGTTTCTCACCATTGCTGGCTTCTGCTGTCTCTAAATACAACTTTCCGAGGAAGTACTCTTTTTTCTTTCTATCTTTGTTTACTGTCTGGTTTAGAGTAGTACGCCTCCCCCTCTTAAAAAAACAAAACGGAAAGTCATTCGCTTCGACTGGGTGTGAAGATGTTGGGTTGTTGAGGTTAAGATAATACAATACCATTAATACTATCAATCGCTCTCGGGTGAAGGAGAAAAAAAATTCAGAAAAACCAGTCTAGCCTCGTGTCAATTCTCCAATTCCGCCCTGCTTTTATTGATCGCGTTCACCTTTGATTCTGTTCCATAGTACTACATGAATTATTAGCACATCTATTCCCAAACACACTTGTTTGGTCTTCCTCGCTTTCCTTTTCCGGATATGATAGTAATCCATATTTCACGGGAAATTATTTTTGTACTCTCAAAGTACGCTGTGTCAGGCTCCTTGCTTCCATGTACGTGAAAATACGAAGGAAGCATTTTGCTCAGTTGGTAAGCTACATAGTAGTAATAGTACATTATCAGTAAGCTCGTTTATGGTGCGTATGATCCTGATTCGAATTTCAGATTGGGGCGTCTTACTCTAACTCTTAGTCGTATGTTTGTTAAGAGGGGGCGTTGTTTGTTTGTACTTAATTTATAACAATGGACCCCGGCAATAACAGGATCGATATGATGTCACTGTTATAGACTGGGATCAAGTTTATATATGTTACAGTAAGAACACGTGTCAAGTGAAAAGGGTAATCACTGAATATTTCAGTGAAAACGCGTAATCCCTGTTTCACTTGGAGATTTTGCGTACTCACTGAAATAATCAGGAATTACGTGAAATCCCTGAAAAATTGTCACAGTAATTACGCGTAATCCCTGACCAGACATTTGTAGTTAATACTCGACAAATTGTTTCCCTCACTGACTCCACCAATAAACTGTTCCTGTCAAGAGAATTTAAGTGCCAAAGATTATTAGAGGTGTTACAAGAGAGTAACAAACACAAAAAAGGAGGAGAGGTAAGGACGATAGATGTTTGATAGGAAAGAAGGAGCAAACCACACCAGAGCACCAGCCAATCACCCATTTAGGTCATTTGGGAGGCGGGCTGCCTTGACCCTGTCTGCCATGGCCTACCTGAGCTGAATGAGATACATCCCAGCAGGTACACTGAGATATTATAGTTAAAGGATTTGAAAAAACGAACAAACACAATTTTATTTAGATCTAATCCCTCCTTGGAATCGAACAGCACAGTCGCGGGAATTTCGTGTATTGCTAAACAACAGCATCTAAATCAACTAAATGGTGGAGAAAGAATTCCGGGGCGGGGGCGGGTTTGCTCTCGTGGTTTAGAGATACGGTGTTCGCCTTTTATTCAATGGGTCCCGTGTTCTAAACTTGACAAGGACGGACAATTTTCTTCTCTAAAATGGTCTCCTTTCACTTTTACCTCATTTCCTGCTCTCTAACCATGATCTGTCGTCTGCTTTCGTATCCACTTTCTGTCCCCGTCCTCTGGACTCTTTCTGCAGCCTTTCTGCTGCTACTCCTTGGCTCCTTCTTACGGCTGTCTTTCAAAGTTTCAGCCACGCCCTTGATCTTAGGGTAGGTAAGATCTAACACCTAGCCTTCTAGGACAAGTGCAAAAAATCTCGAAGGCACGTCAAAGATCCATTTACATGTACTTGGTGGTCCTAAAATAGATAAGAAGGCTTTGGTCACCACCTGGGCAAAATTCAAAATTAATTTCTACAAAACTGAAAATGCTTAATTAAGTCCCGCACACCCGTATTTTTATTATTATATGACTTAATGCAGTTGTGAGCACCGTAAAACACTTACCAAAACAAACAACCCAATGCCCAAATGATAGCCCTTGAGAATTGCCGTGAGATTGACACCATACATGTA